TCCGCTTCCGTCGCATGGCGGCGGCCAGCGCCCGTCTGGCGTTCACGAACTTCGACGTGGGTGCCTCTACGTCGGTTTCCATGTACTCCGCCACACTTCTGCTAAAAGGATCGTCGCCCGCCTGTGGACTACGCATCTTCTTGCGATGACCGTTGCAAAGTTTTCGGCGGGCGTCTCCTCCACTGGTAAAACGACGTCCTCCAATCTGAGATTTAAAAAAATAAAAGTATTCAAACGATTAGCTCTGTTACAAAACGATAAAGTAAAACGAAACGAGAAGAGGGGGAAATAGAGTCACTTACATTTCAGGTTGCCATTCTAGGTCCCAGTATTCCTCCGGCTCTCGATATTCCCTGTATGTCGGGAGGGTGAGACTTCCGTGCCTCGTCAGCGAATTTGAAGGTTGGACGTATAGCTGCCTCATCGAACATATTTCCTCGTGTTCGGCCATCTTGCTTATCTCCACGCCGGTAAGACAGCCCAAACGGCAAAGTTCTATTTCTTCGTCTCCATCGTATCTTGCCTTGCATTTGCAGAAGTGGCGATGAAATCGGGACCACTTCACCCGGTGGTCTCGGAAGAAGGGGCACGTGACAAATCCTTCGCTGTCCATCTTGCATCGAATGAGTAGAGTTCGTTGAAGTGTCGAGGACTCGACCCAAGTTCTCTTTTATATGCTTCGATAGGGGGACCATGACGTCATCCTATCATAATAATACTTTATTCGGGAACCGATGACGTCGGCGCATGATGATCGACGCAGTACGCATGACGTCGTACACGGCGCCCCCTTAGTCACGAACCGATGACGAAAACAGGTACCCATGACGTCAGCGCAGTACACCTTATTTAAGTTACACCGAGGGAAATTAAACCATTCGAATTCGTTTTGTAGAAGATGATCGAGATGTACTCTTGGTACAACGATAACACGTTCGATCGCCAACTTTCAAACCGCCGCAGGAACAACCGCCGAAGAACGAACCGGTGCAGAAACAACCGTTACGGGATCAACCGAAGTCGCAGCATTATCCCCGAGAAGCATTCCTTAACGTCGCAGACTATTCGTCGGAACGACCGCAAAAGCTTCGATCGAAAGGTTGCCGACCGTCGCTCAAGATCCGAGAAGTCA